GTCTCACGCCCCTGGGCTCTGCCCGTCTACGCTGCCCTCCGTCCCCAGTTGGGGAGCAAAGGCCGCCTCCCGCTCAGCCCTGGGTACAGCTGTCCGGTCCTCCCTCGGGGCAGAGGGGCCTCTGTGGCGCAGGTCCCAGAGGACCAGGTGGGGAAGGGCAGAGGTGCTGAAGCGTGACAGTCCTGGAGGCCGGGCCTCTGCTCTGGGGGCCCTGGACCCGCCACAGAGAGCCGCACACGGGCCTGCTCCACGGGGGCCGGGGGTGAGGACAGAGGCCTGCCGGCGCCCGGCTCCCCAGCTCTTCCTGGAAGGAAGGAAGGAGGGAGAGGTGCCCCCCGGAGATGGTGCGGATGGAAAGTGAGGTGGCAGAGAGAGGCAGGCGTACTCTGGGGGTCACCCTGTCCTCCTCTTTGCCCATTCTCCCCGGCCTCCCTCCTCTGTTCCCTGCTGGGCTAGACCACCGGCCCTCTCCCCGCCCTGTCCCCCATCCTGCTGGTCCACCCTTCCCCTGCCGCTGGGGTGACCACCAGCCCCCACCTCGGCCACTGGACGCTCCTCAGTGGCTCCTGGAGTGCCCCACGGGACAAAGGCAGAGCCTCCCCAGCCTCCGCGGCCCTCCCCGGCCAGCCCACCCGCCTCTGTGCCCTGCGCTCGGCTGCACCCGCCTCGCCGCCCGGCCCACCTCTGAGCCTCTGCTCCCAAGAGGCTCGGGCCCCCAGCCCAGCTTGTGCCCTAGGCCAGCTTCCCCTCAGCTTCAGCCGTGGGCCGCGTGAGGCTGCGGAGCGCGGGACGTCACTGGCCACGGGCGGAAGACGGGTTGGGAGACTTACTGTGGGAAAAAGGGCTGCGCATAGCTCAGTAATTTTTTATGCTGATTATATGTTGAGATGGTAATATTTCGGGTATATATGCTGGGGTACATGAAATGTAGTATTTAAGAACTGCCTCCTGTGAAATAGAAAATAGTATTTAATAATTAAAAAAAATTGAAACAAAAGAAAAAAATATGTAGTATTAACATCGGTCTCACCAGCTTCTTTTTCTTTTGGATGTCTACGGGAAAACGAGAGTTCTAGCCACGGCTTGCGCTCGCGGCTTGCGTGTATTGCCGGTTTAACTCACCTCGCTGCCTCTGTACCCCGGCGCCTGGCACTGCCCGGGCACTCGGCGGGGGCGCCCGCCTGTTTATCAAAGTGCCCGCGCCTGTCCCCGGTCGCCTGGCCAAGGCCGTTACCGCGAGCCCACGCGCTGCCCGGGCACTGGGCGGGGGCAGGGCGGGCGTTCTTCTGCCTTGCAGGGGCCCCACCTTTCCCGAGTACCCCACCCCCGGCCGGGCCTGTAACAGAACGTTCAGGGACAGCAGCTCCGGCCTGGCCTGGCTCGGCAGGGTTTGTAGGCTCAGACAACAAGCCCACGTCCGGTCCCTTTCCTGCATTCGGTGCTGTGTTTTTAAACAAAACTCTGGCTTGGCTTATGTTGCGCTCACAGAGAAGCGGCATCTGGTAACACAGCAAGGTCCATTCCAGGCTCTCTCTGCCGCCCGGCCGGCCGTGCAAGCCAGCCGCCTGTCTGCCGCCTGCCGTGCCGCCCTGGCACTCACCCACCTCAGCGGGTCTAGGCCAGGGGTCCTCAAACTTTTTTTTTTTTTTTTTTTTTTTTGAGACAGTCTCACTTTGTTGCCCAGGCTAGAGTGAGTGCCGTGGCGTCAGCCTAGCTCACAGCAACCTCAAACTCCTGGGCTCAAGCGATCCTCCTGCCTCAGCCTCCCGAGTAGCTGGGACTACAGGCATGCGCCACCATGCCCGGCTAATTTTATATATATATTAGTTGGCCAATTAATTTCTTTCTATTTATAGTAGAGACGGGGTCTTGCTCTTGCTCAGGCTGGTTTCGAACTCCTGACCTCGAGCAATCCGCCCGCCTCGGCCTCCCAGAGTGCTAGGATTACAGGCGTGAGCCACCGCGCCCGGCTGGTCCTCAAACTTTTTAAACAGGGGGCCAGTTCACTGTCCCTTGGACCGTTGGAGGGCCAGACTATAGTTAAAAAAAAACTATGAACAAATTCCTATGCACACTGCACATATCTTATTTTGAAGTAAAAACACAAATGGGTAAAAACACCAGCATGTGGCCCGCGGGCCGTAGTTTGAGGATGCCTGGTCCGTCCACAGCTTAGAGGCAGGTCAAATAAGTCGTGCTTGAGAAGCAGCAGGCACTCGGGAGACGGAGCTCGTGGGGGCCGCCCTGTCCCCAGGGTGCTGGCTCAGCACCTCGCCGGCCCGGCCCGGGTCTCAGGGGAGAGCAGCCTGTCCTCTCTGGGTTCAGGTCCTGACTCGGGGCCAAGGCATCGTCCCTTCCTAGAGAACAGCCCCCTCTCTGTGCCAGCTTCCCGAGAAAGCTGGAAAGCAGAGTTTGGACTTGTCGTGGCAACCGGCCCATCCGCCTGAGGCGTCAGCGCCCTCAGGGGTGTCGGGCTCCCAGGACTTTGCACACCAGGGTGTCCATGACAAAGTGGAAGGGCCACAACCTCTGCTGGGCCATCCCCAGGACAATCAGAATGCTCCCACTGGGCTGTAGGGTCCAGTGATGCCACGCTGTCCATAATTTACTTTGAGAGGGTTCAGTCAAAAAGAATGGGCTGGCCCGATGGTAGTGGGTTATCAGAACTCATTAGCATTAGTGTCACTAACGTTGGTATTCAACCCCCCACTGCTAAATTTGGCATAGAAAAAAAAAATATGAAGCAGGCTGGGTGCAGTGGCCCACACCTATAGTCCCAGCACTCTGGGACGCTGGGATGGGAGGATCGCTTGAGCTCAGGAGCTCAAGACCAGCCTGGGTAATAGTGACTGCAGGTCTCTACAAAAAATACGATAATTAGCCAGGTGTGGTGGCACATGCCTGTAGTCCCAGCTCCTTGGGAGGCTGAGGCAGGAGGATTGCTTGAGCCCAGGAGTTTGAGGCTGCAGTGATCTATGATGGCACCACTGCACTCCAGCCTGGGTGACAGAGTGAGACCCTCTTTTTTTTTTTTAAAAAAAAAAAACAACAGGTAAACAAACATGCAGCAAACTGTTAACGTGAGCTCGTGAGGGCCGGTGGAAGTTTGTTCTGCTCTTCGCTCTCTTCTTCTGTGTGCTCAGAAACTCACCTGCTGCGAGAGAGCTGAGGCCGAGCAGTCTCGGGCAGATTCTCCAGCCGGGACCTCAGGGATGCAGCGGAAGAAAACCCCTTTGCGTCTGTAGGTTTTGACGGGCCCGAGTCAGCTCAGCCGCGTCACTGAGGGCCATCCTGGGTTGCAAGCACGGTGCTAAACGCTGCAGGTCTTCCCACCAGCGCTTTCCCGACTTGTGCAAGTGTCCCCAGTCCCCCGGGGAAGTCGGTGAAACGGGTGTTGACTCAGCGGGCCTGGGTGGTCATCCTACATTTCCAGCCAGCTCCGAGTGCCGTCCTGCTGCTGGCCCAGGACCGCAGCGTGAGGGGCAGAGCGGCAGCCCCGGGTGGGGGTGGGGCGGGGGCTCTGCAGTCTGGCCGGCCTGGGGCGGACGCCAGCTCGGGCACTTACAAGCTGAGCCCCCGGGCAAGACGCCTCCCTTCTCTGAGCCTCGGTTTCCCTGTCTGTGAACAAAACCAATCGCAGGACTCACCGTCCCGGAAGCTGTGCAGAGCAGACAGTGACATCTGCAAAGTGCAGAGCCTGGCAGAAGGTCCCTGGGGGACGCCACGTACCCCCCCAGGGCGCCAGCGCCTGTGTGGGGGCCAGAGAGACAGGCTTCTGCTCCAGAGCCAAGTCCCCTGTCCAGGGGCACCGACACTTAGCCAAGAAGGGCATTTCCCTTCCTCGCCCTCAGTTCCGTGGGAGGTGGCCAGAGGGAGGGGCGGGCAGGGCAGCCGCAGGTGCTGCGGGGAAAACACCTTCTAGGAGCAGCGCACACCCCCTGCCGGGCGCACCCTCTCCTCGGGAACCTCGCTCTCCCAGCGGGGTGTCAAGACCGACATCTGGCAAAGCGTAATCCACAGTGTCCAGTTGCCCCAGCGCATATCTAGAACAGGTGTACCCACCGACACACAGAGCGGCGCGTGGCTGCCACGAGCTGGGAGGACCGGGTATGGGAACTGATCGCTCAACAGGGTCTTTCCTTGGGGTGATGATGGCAATGTGTGGAAGTAGATGCAGGTGGCGGTTGCTCCTTGTGAGTACATCGCACGCCACTGAATCGCACACCTGAGTGCGGTTGGTGTTTTTGAGTATTTCCTCTCCTTCTCTCTCCCGTACTCCCCTCATGTGTATGTGGGTGCACTGGATGGCGTCCCGCCTCTCTGAGGCTCTGTTCACTTTTCTTAATCTTTCCTGTTTTTTTTTTTTTTTGAGACAGAGTCTCGCTTTGTTGCCTAGGCTAGAGTGAGTGCTGTGGCGTCAGCCTAGCTCACAGCAACCTCAAACTCCTGGGCTCAAGCAATCCTGCTGCCTCAGCCTTCTGAGTAGCTGGGACTACAGGCGTTAGCCACCATGCCCGGCTAATTTTTTCTATATATATATTAGTTGGCCAATTAATTTCTTTCTATTTATGGTAGAGTCGGGGTCTCGCTCTTGCTCAGGCTGGTTTCAAACTCCTGACCTCGAGCAGTCCGCCCGCCTCGGCCTCCCAGAGTGCTAGGATTACAGGCGTGAGCCACCGAGCCCGGCCTATCCTTTATTTCTTCAAAGATGGTTTCCTCTAGTTCTTTGGACATATTTATTGCGGCTGCTTTGCAATCCGGGTGCCCTCGGGGCAGTTTCTGTGCCTCCCTGTCCTTGTGCATGCGGCACTCTTCTGCTCCATTCAGAGAAGACTCGCTGGGCAACCCGCCATGGACTCTGGGTAGCAGAGATATGAAAACAGGTACCTCAAGTCGTGTTTTCAAACACAAAAACGCCATCTTTCAATTCCTGCTGTGTTATAATAGCTCCCAAAGAGGTATATTTTGATGCTTACTGAAAGTCAACACAAACACAAATCTGAGAGCAAAGACGTGGATCTTTAATGGACTTGGCTTTGACGGGTACTGACAGACCCTGCAGACACTAGCACGGTTTGCTTGTAAACAAAGTCCTTGCCAGGACAGTCAGGCAAATTCAGAGGAAACACAAACAAAAATTAAAGACAGACTCACAATTTCATTTTCTTTCCAATACTAACAATTGTTTCCAGATTTTCTTTATGCTTTGTGCTTTCAGTTCAGTAAAAGTTAGAAAGGGTAATAAAAGTCTGATACCTAATCGTACAAAATTGACCAGACTACGGAGAAGGACAAGATCATCATTTTACAAAACACCATTATTCAAGATCACCAGCGTTTGTTTAAATTATTTTCTTTTCTGGACTTCCAAGTCCCCTTGGCAATTTTATTTAGGAAAATAACATGCATCAAATAGAAAACTGGTATTCTCAACACATTTTCTTTGTGACATATTCTTGTGTATATATATATTAATGAAAATTTTTAAAAAGTTTTCTTTCTGTTGCCAAAACTTAGGCATTAAAAATAAACCACTGTAAACCTATTTGACCTACCCATAAAAAGGGGTCACCAGGACAGATTTGGAGGACACACAGAATCACGGATGCACACTGTCCCTCCCGGACGCCACCCCACAGGCTTGACTTTGACAGGAGGTGCTTTTGTAAGACGTCCAGTGGCACCTCAGGACAGACACGATACAGAAGTGCTATGAAGAAATGTTTCCGCAGTAGCTTGTAGAACAATTGTGCCATGTTTGCCCTAAAGTGTCTTGCTAAGACATCTCAACACTGCTGGCTTATATGGCCCATTTGACCTTATGACTCATCTTTAAAGCTGAAATAAAAATTTTTAGAAAAATAGTTTGACTAAGGATAATGAAACTTTTTTTTTTTTTAAACAAAAAAGTTAAAAATATTTGCTCACTTAAATCCAGACCTTTTGTTATGTCAGTTTTGGTTTTGAACGTGATTTTATGTATTATATCAAATGCAGCACACTAAAAACCATGCAACCACCATAACGAAGTTATGCTGTACGTAAGACTTCTCGTTACAGGGACTATTTAACAGCACGATGTTAACTATGTCTTTTCCCATGGCTAAGCAGGACAAAATGTTATCAGAGTAGGCAAAGAACAAAGTCAACACTTCCTTCTCATCAGGGCCTTCATCAACAAGTGAATCCGCCCAACGCCAAGCCAGTTTGGGTCTCCAGATGGAGCCCACCTTTGCTTCCGTGAATCAATGAAATCAAAGTCCAATCAGTGCAGCTCTGCGATCCCAGTGGGCCTCTCTGCCGTCCAAAGCCACGGCTGGGACCACAGAAGCAACTTGGGGTCCCGTTTGGGAGTAGCAGAAAAGGGCACTGGCCCAGGGCTTAGTGAAAATTTGAGGTTTCTGCATAGGGTGGGGCGTGATGGGATGAGGGTGGCTTTTACTTCCAGGCCCAAGATTCCCCTGAGCAGAGAGTGGGCTGGCTGGGAGAGCAAAGGGCACTGGTCAGCCAAAGCTACCCACTTCACGACTTCCTTCTGTTTAGAATCTATAACTGTGTGAGCCACGGGGAAAGAGCCTGACCCCGTGGCTTCCTTCAAGTGCCACTTGGTTCCGAGTCTGCGTCTTCTCCATCTCTCAGGCAAAAGGTGCAGATCAATTATTGAGTGAGCACTGCTCTGAGAAAGTCACATATCTGTTTCTCCGACTAAAGTCTGGGCGCCTTCCATCCCAGTTTCTGTAATTAACTTAGATTAGAAGAACCATATAAAAATCAGTAAGTGGAAACTCCCATATTTTAGACTAAAGGTCATTGTGGACAAATACACATGCATGGTTCTTCCAGGCTGCGGCTTCTGCTCTCAGCAAGGCTTAGGTTTCAGACACCGTGGCCACGCCTCTAAGGAAAGGATTCTAACCCAGGATGGAAAAGCTGCTTTGGGGACGTCAATCATTTAGCTCCTCAGCTCAGACACTGACATATAAAGAGAAACCGGAGCCCAGGAGCCTGGAAGAACGAGTGTGCTCGATGCAAAAACACTGCAGACCGTAGTAGAGGGGCTCGGTGCAGGGGTGAGCCCCGGGTAAGAGCCAAGGGGGGTGCTGGCCCCCAGAAGACACTTTGGGCTTGCCGTAGAGGTAGGAGAACAGGGAAGGAACAGGTGAGAGTGGAAGAGAGAAGCCCCCAGGGCAAGAGTCTCTTCTCCCCTGCCTGTCCACTCCCCCAGTTGAGTACACGTAGAAAATTATGGTATTGCCGATTCTGTTCCCAGAATCATCCTTACCGGTAAACTGCCAAATACCCACAGGACACGGGGTGAAGCCCTACACGCTTGAAAAGAAAACAGACTGTTAGACTAGAAATAACCAGAAAACCAACCCAGCACGGCAAACACGGTTGTAACAAAGTTCTGCATGAACTGACAGCTGACTAGGAAGTGTAATTCCACACTTTAATTATGCTAATCAATTTATTGAAAGTTGTAGATTAGTGTGCTCTCCTCAGCTTCATACAAGATCTCAGTTCCTACACTGATGGGAATTACTGAAGTTACCCCAAAATGTGGAATCCCGGAGACCTTAAGCACAATGTCTGTAGCGAAAAATTCCACGGAGAACCTGTGGCCCCCGGTGGAAGGGACGAGTAAACAGCAGCTCACGTTCAGAACCTCGTGTACACCAGTTATAGGGACTTATAAAATGATAAAAAGGCCCTAGGTTCTTAAAGTTATAATTTATAGAATATTCTGTACAAAAGCAGTCTTTAAAAAGAGACTCTGCTACTGTCCTCAGAAGAAATCCACAGCAGTCGGCCTCCTCTTTGGAGTGGCGGCCAGCGGCTTCTTGGTCACCTGGGGAGTGCTGGCAGGCGAGCTGGGGGGTGTCTTCAGCACTCCGTGCAGGGGCTTCTGCTCGGGATTGAAGGCCACTCGGGAGGGGCCCGTGGGGCTGACCAAGAGACTCTTGTCTGTCTTCTTGAATTCTGTTCCAAATGAGAGTAAAACGTCCTGTTAATTGGGTGTGACCTCTGTCCCTTCTAGCCATGTAGGGGTGTCCTGCTTCGGGGCTTGACACTCCCTCCCTGGCTTGGGGCAGGGTGATGCCATCTCGAGACCCCAGCAACCGTGGGGCTTCCCAGGCGTGTCCTGGTTCTTCTGGAGGACAAGCCCCGGCCCCTGTGGACTGGGGAAGCCCCAGCAGGCCAGGTGGGGCAGGGCTGCTGGCGGGCATCAGGACCCAGGCAGCTGCGCCGGGCTCACCGGTGGCGTGCAGAGCGGCAAGGAGCCCTTCCCGGGAGGATTCACCCCTCCCGCACCCCCAGTGCTAAGGACAAGGCTGAGGCGAGCACCCCAGGTCCTCCCAGAGCCCCTCCATTACTGTGGTCCCCAAGAAGCATCAGGCCTTAAATCCATAATGTTTTTGAAAACTCTGGTTTCTTTTGAAAAAATAAATGGATAGCACCAGTATGGAAAGTAGCAAGATAGGGCTGTCCCTCCTCTTCCCCCTCCTCCCGGAGGCAGGTGGTTCTGATTTTGGTGAAGAGGCAGCACAGCTAAGGGACCTCAGGCTCTCCAGCAGCCTCTGCGCGACGGCTTTCTGTATTCAGGAGGGCGGCTGGGAAATGTCTTTTCTGACCACGTCTCACCAGGTAGCCTCCCAAGGGGTTCCAGGAAATCTCTCTGGCCCCCACCCACGGCTCCGCAAGGACGAGGGACACACTGCTGGGCGCTCGCTTCTGACTCAGACACTGGCGGGGAGAGAAGCCCTTGGCCTCACGGCCCCAGGACCCCCCCAGCCCCCTGCCTCCCTCGGGAACTGTCGCTGTCGCACGAGGCCGGGCCTGTGCTCCTGGGGAAAGGCCTCCAGAAGCAGGTCTTCGCTCACCTGCAGTCATGTTCCTGTTCAACCCAAAGGTGACTTTCTTGGAGCTGGACGGTGTCTTGTTTAGCTACAGAAAAAACAAAAGGAGTAACATAAAAGGAACTGCTCGGTCTCCTTTAGGGAGTTTTCTGAAGAGCGTGCCCAGGAGGGAGCACTGAACGCTTACTGACCGGGACACAGGTCAGAGGGCCAAAAGGGACAGCGGGCTGGTCCCACACTGCGGCCCAGTCCTGGGTCTTTGTCGAGCCCGTGCCACCACACTTCCCCGGGCCGCAGCTGTCACACAGCCTTTGCACAGCACGCCCATCTCCCTGCCCGTGAGGGGCAGCGCCCCTAGCGCCATGCTGCAGCTGCCGCTTCGTCACGGGCCACAGTGAAGACAGCAAACAAAATACGGCTGTCTGAAACCTTCTACACTGGAAAAAGTTCGCCGCCAAAAAACTGTAAGAGAGTCAGTAACTCCTCATTCATTTTGTCCCATGGTTTCTAAGTTTTAACTTGAAGATTACATGAAATTGATCATACCAATGATGGAATCTAACTTCCATGGGTAAAGAATTTAAACTCTCCAACTTTTTGTGCAAAGGAGTCCCAATTATCCATATATTCCAAGAGTGCATCAAAATTAACTATGTTCTAGGCCAGGCGCAGTGGCTCACGCCTGTAATCCTAGCACTTTGGGAGGCGGAGGCGGGTAGATCAACTGAGGCCAGGAGTTTGAGACCAGCCTGAGCAAGAGCGAGACCCCATCTCTATTAAAAATAGAAAGAAATTAATTGGCCACCTATAAATATATAGAAAAAATTAGCCGAGTATGGTGGTGTATGCCTGTGATCCCAGCTACTCAGGAGGCTGAGGCAGGAGGATCGCTTGAGCCCAGGAGTCTGAGGTTGCTCTGAGCTAGGCTGACGCCATGGCACCCTAGCCTGGGCAGAGTGAGACTCTGTCTCAAAAAAAAATTACCTTCTTTCCCATTTGAAAAATTCCTAAAAGCCGATCCATTTTGTATCATGAGACACTTCCTCAAATTCCTTCCCCATTATTTCTGTGTGAGTCCCCCATTCCTACCTTACAACCACTTTTGCTTTAACACCAGAAATGTTTCATGAGTGGAATGTGTGCCATCAACCGCAGCTCAAAGCACCCGGACTGTGATCCCTGGGGAGGGGCCCATGCCAGCAGAACACTACGCTGTCACCAGGGCTAAGGACTGGGTTGCAGAGCCAACCTGGGCTCCTGTAACAGCCCTGCCCCTGTGGACAGGCTCTGAGGCCAGCTGCGCATGCTCTGGGCTCAGGGAGGCCAGGGTGGGCCCAGGCCCGGCACCCACATCTCTGTGCCCTGTGGGGGGATGGGCTGCGCCACTCTGGGGAAGGCATGTACCTGGACGGCAGGACCTGGAGAGCAGGTGGCAGTGTTGCTCTTGGCTTTTCTGACGAACAGGGGCTTGGGTAGGAAGGGGGTGTCAAACTTCACAAAGTCATTCTCTGTCCTCAGCTGCTTCTTCTTCAAGGGGCCGACAGTCCCACTGACTCCCTGCAGGAGCAAGGGGCAAGAAGCCGTTGCATGACAGAGCCTCGGTGGCAGCCCATGCACACAAAGGAGTGACAAAGGACAGTGCGGCAGCAGAGCCACAGGCAGCAGACGCGACTCACCAGCTCGGACCCCACAGCCCACGGCTTCCTGCGCTGGGTTTGCAAAGGGCCCTTCCACTTAGCAGAGCGACACACAAACGACCACTTCCCTGCCACGCCACCGTGGCTTCGTCTTCACACTTGTGCCAACATTCTGAGCATTTGTGCTCCCTTACTTTCTCGTTTGTGATTAGAGACCTCACTATTGGCTGGCAGCCTTGCACACGGAGGGTGAGTGACATCCAGGCGGGCTCTACAGCCCCTTACAGGCAGGTGCAGGACATGCATGGGACAAGTGCAGCTACAACCACCCACAGCAAAGACCTGGGTCTAGCTCTGGGGTCTCAGGTGTCCCGGAGGCCAGTGAGCGCAGCCGACCTGCTGGCATGGGCAGGCTCCAGATGGCTGCCCCAAGGGAAGGACGGCTCCAGGAGCCTTCTCTTCTGCTCCTCCCCTGCGCCAGGAGAGATGTCAGGTAGACAGCGCCTCCCTCGGGATGGGAAACCTCCACTGACCCTGGGACCGATTTAGCCACTGTCCCAATCCTCTCTACAATAGACTGCCCAGAGCAGGAGGGGCGGCAGCGCCCTGCTAGCCAGGGAAGACCCAAGACCAGACGTCGACCTCCTGCGGCGCAGCTTAGTGCTGTTTTGCCAGCTCAGACTTGTTCCTGACCATAAGTCTAACTCACGTAACCACTTAGCGACACTGTCAGAAAGGCCTCAAGCCAGCACTTCACCAAGTCTACACAAGTCGCCTTAATCATAGGCCCTGATGTCCTAACCCTGGCAGAGCAGCATGTGTGAATGCGAGTTCTGAACCTGGGTTGGCACACTGTTTCTGTAAAGGCCCAAAGAGTGGCCGTAAGGTCTGCCACCACTACCCAGCTCTGTGCTGCGGAGTGGGAACAGCGGGACAGTGCACACACCAGCGGGCGTGGCCCAATGCCACAGACCCTGCTGTGGTAGACAGCACACCGCGTCCAGAGATGTGTCAACAGCAGGCCAAGAGCCCAGGTCCTCATTTGTATCTGGCTTTAGAGACCCAAGCAGACGGGAAGTCTTTTCATGGGCCGGCGCAGTGGCTCACGCCTGTAATCCTAACACTCTGAGAAGCCGAGGCGGGAGGATCGCTTGAGATCAGAAGTTCGAGAGACCAGCCTGAGCAAAAGTGAGACCTTGTCTCTATTAAAAATATAAAAATATGGACGACTAAAAATATACAGAAAAAATTGGCTGGGCACGGTGGCACATGCCTGTAGTCCCAGCTACTCGGGAGGCTGAGGTGGGAGGACCTCTTGCGCGAGGGGTAACTGTCCCAGCTCGATGCTGAGCCTTCCCTGACCTCTGAGTATGTGGCTGAGGGGAGTGAGGGTTTTGGAGGACTTGAACTTGGCCACCGAGACCAGCTGTCTGTCATTTACCTGTCAGTGAAGGTTGTTACAAACCACAACCTACTCTAACTCTGCCCAGGCCAGAGGCCTGACCACTGCCCCACCCCACCCTCGCAGGAGGCAGTGGAGCCCCCAAACACGCCTGTCCCAGAGCTGTGGCCACCTGCCTGGGGCCCGTCCCGCCTTACCAGAGCTGAGCTCGGCCTGACTGTGGGTTCCAACACTCCATTGTGTTCTACCAAGTTCGACATCTCTTTCATTTTCTTCCTCTTTTTTAAGATTGCTGTTTTCTGGCTGGACAGGTCATAGAGGTCGCAGTTGCTGGGCTCTGCCTTTTTCTTCTGCAGCCTCGCACACTGGGGCAGGCTGGCCTGGCTGCCTCCCGCCTCCGCCGGGCCTGTGGGGGGGCTTTCCTTCTGCACCGGGGGCCAGGCCAGCGTGGTCAGGCCACTGCCACTGACTGGGGGAGTGCCGAGTTTCCGCTTCCTTTTCGGGACTTGGGCTCCGTCTGTCGGGGAACCTCTGGTGGCAGGTGCCTGAGGCTGTCCACTGCTCAGGCCGCTCTGGGCCAGGTCCTCCAGAGGTGACACTGCTGAGGTCTCTCCCGGGGCCCTCAGGCTCTTCTTCCTCGGCCGCTTCCTCCTGTTGTGCATGGAGACGGAGGGGGCGTGCTCCGAGCCGCTCTCCTCCCCGGTGCTGGACGAGCCGCCGCCATTCTGTTCTAGGGACGGGACTTCATCGCCTGGGCCCGAGTTCTCAGGCTGGGGGTGGTTCTTCCTCTTCTTTTTCCTTTTTCTCTTTTGAATACTGCCTTCGCTGCCCTCTTTCTCAGCAGCAAAGACGGTGTTCCCTGCAAAGACAGAAAGCCAATGAACAGGCACCCAAGGCAAGGTGGGACAGAGTCTCGCTGGCAGTCCTGCGCCAGTGTGACTGGCAGACGGACTTTCCCCACAGAACAGCTTTTGTTCCCTTGATGCACCTGCTGCTCTTGTCACCTGGCCTCTCTTCCCCATTCCCAGCCGACTGGAAACCTGTCCAGTTCAATGTAACTGGAACCCAAACCATGGGATCTCTATTAATCTTAAGGCCAAAACGGAGAAACCACAGGTCCAGAGCAGTCATCAAGCCACTGCTCCAAAGCAGCTCGGAAGCTCCGCCCCTTCCCCCGAAGATGCTCTTGAGAGTATGTGGAAGCTTCCAGTTGAGTGGGGCCGGAATGGTGGTTCCACAGGAAATAACAAAACACTCAGACGAGTCTTTACTTTTCAGCCATGAAAAACCAAAGCTTTTTGCCCTGCTAACTCATGAAGACATGAGCGCTTGGCAAGCCCCTTAGACTCGTGTGCGTGTTGCTGCCCAAGGCCTCGTCACGCCTCCTCTCCGGCCCTCTCTGATGTAAGATTTGCAGCTTACCTTTCTCCTTTTCCGAGTCAGCCTTTTCTACAAGTTTATTGCCTTTTTTCTTATGCCTTCCTTGACTGAGGGTTTGGTCATCTTCATCAGCAGAAATGTCCTCAGCAAAATTAAGTTGAGATATACTGCCTGCTAGATGCCAAAGTGACACCACGTCAGCTTCCTGACACTTTTAAGACTCTGCCCCAGTGGCCTAAGAGCTGGGCCTCCCGCCTCGCCCAGGCCAGATGCTAAGCCCTGACTTCTGCCTCCTCACCACCGTTCCTCACCACTTGTCCAGCCCAAGCCTGAAAGCTGCCGGTACAGGAATTACAGACTTGAAAAAGTGTTGTGGATTTCTCCCCAAGGCAAGGCGAGGGATCACACACCCCTGGAGACGCCCTGTCCAGGTCTACCTGGGGGGCTTGGCAAAGGAGGTCTCCACGGTCCACCTGGCTCTGTGGTGCTTTCTCGATTCCAAGTGCCCCGGTGCACGGGGCACACAGGCCAGTGAGCCCCAGACTCGCTCAGGTCTAAACAAGCTCACAGCAGCCTCTCTCTGGGGAGAGCTGACCACAACAGCAAATGAAAGGGACCTGAGAGATCAACTTTGTTTCTGCATAAAGATCACTGAGAATGTATCTAGTTAAAAGAACAATAAAAACCAAAATAGGCTGGGTGCGGTGGCTCATGTCTGTCATCCTAGCACTCTGGGAGGCTGAGGCGGGAGGATCCCTCGAGGTCAGGAGTTCGAGACCTGCCTGAGCAAGAGCGAGACCCCATTTCTACTAAAAATAGAAACAAATTAATCGGCCAACTAAAAATATATATAGAAAAAGTCAGCCAGGCATGGTGGCACATGCCTGTAGTCCCAGCTACTCGGGAGGCTGAGGCAAGAGGATCGCTTGAGCCCAGGAGTTTGAGGTTGCTGTGAGCTAGGCTGACGTCACAGCAGTCTAGCCTGGGCAACAGTGTGAGACTCTGTCTCAAAAAAAAAGAAAAAAAAAAAAAAACCAACAAAACAAAACAAAACACCACACCACCCAAATATAATAGGGCAATCTCCCCTTTGCCCTGGCATTTGCAGGGGAGCTGGGGGGGGGGCAGTGGGAAGGCTCCAGGAGGGCCCATGCCTGGGTGCACGTAGGTGAGGTTACTATTTCTTATGAGATAGAGGTCCTACAAGCCTGCCTTTCGCTATTTGGCATTACTGCCCTCAGTGGGGTCCGTATTCTTGTAAGAACATCATGAATTGTAATCCTCTGACTTTCCTTACCTTCAGAGAGATCTTGGAATCTGAAAAAGAAAACAAAAGTTCATTAAAAAAAAAACCCTTCTTTCTGTCTTCTGTATATATATATTTATACACACACACACACACATAAGTGATATCTAAATATTTAATTTAATGTTCACTTAATAATTCACTTTCTTTTTCCTCCAGGAGGGGAGGCTAGAGAGGAAATTCTGCTAAGGAAAGGTGGTGTGATTCCAAAGCAAACACTCAAGAACAGGTAGCCCTCAATGATCATCAGTGTCACCAAGAACATGGAGGGCTGAAGGATCTGTCCCGGACACCTAAACAAAACTAGGAAGTTAAATTTTCCTTACTTGTTTCTAAAGGCAGAAATAGTTTAGAGCTCAGCTTATATTCAAATCTCCAGTGGGAAAAGGCCAAGCAGTGTTTGGCTTTGCACAGTTTTGGTGGACCAGAACAGAGAAGTGCTGAAGTGCAGGGAGGTATAGGAGCAGAACACTCGGGGGGGCAAGTCCTGCCCCAATACCTGACAGCAGTGACCTCAGCCAGCTGCCCTCCCTATACCCTGTTAACCCAGCTGTCAAAGGGCGGAGCAAGGAAGCTACCTTCTAGAGCTTTTCTTAAGACAGACAGGGTGTTATCTGCCATTAGCCACCATGTGCCGTGAGGCTCCGCAGCAAACTGCATGTCACCACGTCATTAGTCATGACCACCCCTGCACCGACTGTGCATCAACTAGAACTTTTGGCATAACCGTGCTGGGGAGGGCAAGAGATAATAACCTAGCCCCCGTCTATCTCAACAGCACCAAAAGGCGACACTCAAACAGCAGATTGACATCACAGCTTCTCAATCTGTTAATGTTAGACATTAACAGACTCTGTACATCATCGTAAAGTAGCCGAGAGACAAGTATGGCTGCATTGGAAGACTGGAACTTGGGGGTGAGGCAGCTGTTTCCATTCAACCCTGCAGTGTATGTTAGTCTGCTACACTGCTATGAATAAACACATCAAAGAACAAACACACACACAAAAAGGTGAGCACACAGACAGCTAGTCCTACACAGTGAGATAAATAAAAGGGTTGGACTTGGACACGAATGAAAATCAAAGGAACCCTCTCACCCAGTCACTGACTTTTTGATTAGTTTGGAGAGACGCTTCCTGTTGAAAGGAGGGATGTTTTTCCTGTTGGTAATTTCCAGGAGTCGATCGGCAACAGCTTTATAGTCAAACTACGCACAGAGAGAAATGAAAAGTCAGTCTGCAGCAAAACCACACTGCCTAACTTGGAAATTCACACCTACTAGAGAGAGAAAACCCACTGGGATGGGATTTTGGAAGTATTTGGCAACAGAACAGTCTAAACAAGCATATGCTAAGACTTGGCAAGCATAAGTGTAAGCACCAACTCTGACATATCCATGTTCTAGTTATTCTTGGGAGAAGCTGGGTAAGTAATTCTTCCTTTTTTGTTGTTCTTCTTAAAATTGTAGTAGAATACACACAATAACATTTACCTGGGTGTGCTTCATTTTAAGTTAATCTAGATCTTTCAGTATATACTTGGTAAAATAGTAAACTTTTTTTTTTTTTTGAGACAGAGTCTCGCTTTGTTGCCCAGGCTACAGTGAGTGCCATGGCGTCAGCCTAGCTCACAGCAACCTCAAACTCCTGGGCTCAAGCGATCCTCCTGCCTCAGCCTCCCTAGTAGCTGGGACTACAGGCATGCACCACCATGCCCGGCTAATTTTTTCTATATATATTAGTTGGCCAATTAATTTCTTTCTATTTATAGTAGAGACAGGGTCTTGCTCTTGCTCAGGCTGGTTTTGAACTCCTGACCTCGAGCGATCGCCCGCCTCAGCCTCCCAGAGGGTTAGGATTACAGGCGTGAGCCACGGCACCTGGCCGTAGTAAACTTTTTAATTGCAAAGTGTCACTGGAGCTGGCGCTGTGGTATGGACAGAACAGATCCTGGCAATTCAAAGTGAGGATGATTACTTTTCAAAATTCCATCCCAATTAAATTTCTTTGTCTCCAATAAGCTCATTCTAAGGAAGGTGACATCAGTGACTGAAGGGATTAGAAAGGACTTTGGTCCTTAGGCCATACAGCTTAGTTGTGACCCTAATTCTCTGGCTTGGCCACCCACAGCAGATCTATATCCTATAAAAAGCAACGCCTGCCACCCACCTGGAGAAGGGGCCCAGCGTCCTCCAAGGCTCTGCAGTCATCTCTCCCTCTCTCATCACCAAGCCCGTCTTTTCTGGAGTGATTCTTGCCCAGTGCTATGAAAACATCCAAAGACAAATTCTTGATACATCAAATACAAAGCAATAACCACTTCCAAAGAAGCCACTGTCTAATTAGATGTCTCTTAGTAAAAAAGAATTTCTTTAAGAAAAGCCCTGAAAATACGTTTATAATATTTCTCAGAGACTTTCTGATTGTTCGGTCTCTGGGAATGAGGATAAGTCTGGGAGAAAACATACATTTTGCCTTTTCTATTCATAATGACGTCACAGGCAAAACCAGAGACCTGTCTGCTGCCTTCCCAGTCCCCTACCGCACGCACTGCCCTCGCGTGAAGGCTTCGGCCCAGGGGGGTGCGAAGCTCTGGGGTTAGGGACCCAGGTATGTGGGTCTAGGCACCACACTGCTCTGGACTGTCAGGAGGAGGAGGACGGAACCAGGAATGCGTCCCCATTTTTAGGTCAGTCAGGACCACAGTAAACAATCTAGCACAGGAGCACACTCACTTTTCAGGAAGCTGCCTGAGGAAATACAAGTCAATATCAATGCAACTGTTAGCATTTAAAAAATAATTCAGCCAGGCATGGTGGTTCACGCCTGTAGTCCTAGCACTTTGGGAGGTTGAGGCAGGAGGATTGCTTGAGCCCAGGAGTTTGAGGCTGCTGTGAGCTATGATTTTGCCACTGTACTTCTGGCTGGGCCAACAGAGTTAGACCCTGTCTCTAAAAAAAGAAAAAAAATATTCAAAGATTCTTAAAGCCTATGAAGGAGCAGATAAAAATGACTAGTGAGAACTGAAAGGTTTTCCAAACGTGCGCCATTTCTAGAGTGCTACGTACTTGTCAGTGGTGTGGCATCGGGCACGGCCTGCGGGAGACGAGGCAGGTCCCGCACCCCCCGTCCCGCGCAGGTGTAAGTGTCCAACAAGCATCTGCCGAGTGCACCTGGGAGAGAACGTCTGTGGCTGCACACAGGAGAGAGCTAAATGGCGTCTATAGTTTTTTTTGTTTTTTAACAGATAGGGTCTCACTATGTTGTCCAGGCTGGACTTGGACTCCTAGGCTTAAATGACCCTTCTGTCTCAGCCTCCTGAGTAGCTGGGATTACAGGCACATGCCACCATGCCTGACTGAGACTGTGTCTAGTTTATTTTTTTGGAAACAGGGTCTTACTCTGTTGCCCAGGCTGGTCTCAAATACCTGGCCTCAAGTGATCCTCCCACCTCGGCCTCCCAAGGTGGTGAGATTACAGGCTGAGCCAACTCGACCACCCCATGTCTAGTTTAGACTGACAGAAATGTGGGGCGCAGGGGGACCCTGAGACTACTCCCACACCTACACAAAATTTGCTGAAGGTCATCAGTTAACTCTGTCATCTACACCTGTGGTCCCCAACCCCTGGGCTGTGCACTGGTATCAGTCTGTGGCCTGTTAGGAACAAAGCCACACGGCAGGAGGTGGGCAGCGAGTGAGCCAAGCGTCACCTATATTACACCCACTCCCCATCACTCACATCAGCGCCTGGGCTCCGCCTCCTGTCAGATCAGCGGCGTTAGAGTCTCAGGGGAGTGCGAACCCTACTGTAAACTGCACATGTCAGGGATCTGGGCTGTGGCTCCTTATGAGAATCTAACGCCTGATGATCGGAGTGGAGCTGAGGCGTTGATGCTAGCGCTGGCGAGCAGCTGCAAATACAGATTGTCATTAGCAGAGAGGTTTGACTGCATGATAAATGTAATACGCTTGAATCACCCTGAACCCATCCCTAACCCCCATCTGTGGAAAAACTGTCTTCTACAAAACTGGTCCCTGGTGCCAAAAAGGGTGGGGACCGCTGATCTACACTGAATTTAAAATTAGAGTATTTCTTTTTTCTTAAAGACTTGCTGTTTTCTTTTCCTGATTAAACATAATATACAATCACTGTAGTAAAATTAGAAAATAGAGAAAAGTAGAAAGAAAACAAAAATCACCCATAATTCTGCCACCTACGGCTATTAACATTCTGGTCTATCCTCCAGATTTTTGAAGGCACATATAAACCTTTAAAAAACAAATCAGGCTCCTCCTACATAGTTTTGTGTCATGCTTTTAAAAAGAAATTATATTTCCTTTCATCATTAGTTTTTTTTGTTTTTGTTTTTTTTTGAGACAGAGTCTCACTTTGTTGCCCAGGCTAGAGTGAGTGCCGTGGCGTCAGCCTAGCTCACAGCAACCTCAATCTCCTGGGCTCAAGCAATCCTCCTGCCTCAGCCTCCCGAGTAGCTGGAACTATAGGCATGCGCCACCATGCCCGGCTAATTTTTTTTTTGTATATATATTTTTAGTTGGTCAATTAATTTCTTTTTTTTTTTTTACTCTCCAACAGTCTGAGGGAGGTCAATTAATTTCTTTCTATTTTTTTGGTAGAGATGGGGTCTCGCTCAGGCTGGTTTCGAACTCCTGACCTTGAGCAATCCGCCTGCCTTGGCCTCCCAAAGTGCTAGGATTACAGGCGTGAGCCACCGCGCCTGGCCTCATCATTAGTTTTTGAAAACTTTGTTAATAGCTATAAACACTTCAAATGCATGGGCAAACTCTAACCCAACTGTTTACCTCAGTCTGCAGAGAGAGGCCCGAAACTGCCGTGGGAATCTGGCTGGGCCTGCGCCTTCCAGCATGCACAGTACACGGAAGCCCATGGACACAAAACAGTAGCCAGAATGTCAGTCCACAGCGGGCACCGAACACAGAGAAAAAGAGCCCTGAAAGGAGCCATGGGCTGAGAAAGGCAGACACAAAAGCATGTCCCCCGTGGAACCGTATGGCAGGTCCCCTGAAGGAACAAGGCCATACCAGGGTGTTCGAAGACATCCCACAGAACAACAAAGCAACTGCAGAACTCCAGAGCAATAGCGGTGATAACTGGAAAACTCTAGAGGGAAGTCCTGAGGTCCTAGGAGGTACAGAAATGTGCCTAAGCTACATGTGACAGGTCTCGGGTGTCCCCAGACTCTAGCCAGGCACAGGCGCTTGAACACCCACTGCTTCCTTTCTCAGGAGGGGTGGAGACAGCGGTGTCCTCCACAAACCAACTCCAGGTGTGCCGGGCAAGACACGAGGACACGCATTGCAGAGTGAGCAGAGTGTGTGCAACGAGGAGTGCACCAGGCAGGCCACTCGAGCTCAGCCTCTCACCTGTCTTCTTTTTACAGGCTGCTTTTCTCCATATCGTCTCATTTTCAGGGGCCTCTTCCTCAGGGAGGTGACTGTCACCCATTTTTGTCTTCTGTTCCTCCACTGTCTCTTCAGGTACAAAAGGAGACTGGTCTACAATGGCTTCAAAAACGCCCCTAGCTATCGTCTGCACCAGGGTCTGGCTGAGGGCAGAAGCACAGTGACAGAACACAATTAGAACAGTTCCCCTAGCCTTGCTGTTTGAGGGGTACATGAGCCCCTTTGAGCCCTGCATTCATCACTTGAATGTGGTCTGCCCCGGGGTGTGGGGACCCTCAGCCTGCCAGTGGGCATCTGTCTCCCTGACAACACTTCTGTGTGGTTAACTGCAACTGCAAGGAACTGCCACACGCCACCCAGCGGAGGGCAGCAGACGGAACCCTGGGTGTGCACGGGCATTCCTGGGGTGACCGGGGAAGCCCCAAAGCTGAAAGAACCAAATCACTGTTCAGAGCTTCAAATGTCTTGTTAATGGGAATAAAAACTTGGGCTGTTCTCAGCTCTAGAAAATCACCATGGGAGCCTGACTGTGCTTCCGAACAGAAAACAACCCCCAACCACCAACAAGCAGTGAGAACACCCAGGTAAATCACTTACTCCTTAGTCTTGGCGGCGATTTTACAGAATGGATCAATAAACTTGAGATTCTGATCTGCTAAAAGCTGTAATTCAGAAATAAAATGGGAAAAAAAATGAGAAACAAAAGAGCCTTTCTCTTTCTGACATGTCCTTGAAAAAGGAATCATTTGCATTTTTCACATAAGGTGGTCAGACAAGGCTTGTCTCACACAGCCCAAAAGTGCCCACGGGGAGCGCCAAGAAGCCTGCAGCCAGGCTCAAGGTGCAGGCTGTGCCCCGGCCACTGGCATCTTAGTGCAGCCGCAGGACAAGCCGCCCATCCGACCAGCGCCGCTCTACACGTCCAGCACAGGGAGCATGTACACACCTCTTCTAAGAGATGTTCTACGTGGAGACCATTGGAAAACGTGAGCCAAAGGAATTATTGTTCTGCATATAGCATTTATCTTGTCTTTTACTTTAAAAAATATACGTTCCCGGCCGGGCACAGTAGCTCACACCTGTAATCCTAGCACTCTGGAAGGCCGAGGCAGGAGGATCACTTGAGCTCAGAAGTTCAAGATCAGTGTGAGCTAGAGCGAGACCCCATCTCTACTAAAAATAGAAATTAGCTGGACAACTAAAAATATACAGAAAAAATTAGCCAGCCATGGTGGCACATGCCTGTAGTCCCAGCTACTTGGGGGGTGAAGTAGGAGGATCAGTTGAGCCCAAGAGTTTGAGGTTGCTGTGAGCTAGGCTGACGCCACGGCACTCTAGCCTGGGCAACAGAGTGAGACTCTGTCTCAAAAAAAAAAAAAAGTTCCCTACAGAACACTTGTGAAAAAAAAAAGTAAAATTTGCTCATATTCCCAAATTCAGATGATTGCATACTAAAAATGTACATTTCCTTTCTAGTCTTTTGTCTATTTATATATGAGCATATACTTTAAAAAAAAGTCATACAGTTTGTATACCTTTGTTTACTGCCTTTTCTTTCTACTGCTTTAAAAAAAAAAAATCAACATATATCCTGAGCATTTCTCCATATTGCTGAATTCTTTATTGGACTCTACAAGGTTGCTTTCAATTGTTTTGTAAAACTGCCACAAACATCCTTAGCATATAAAGCTTTGTTTATACACCCATTAGTTACTTAGAACACATTCCAGATGGGCCGAACAAATTTACGCTGCTACTGTCACTGGTAGCAGAGTGGCAACCAACAGCACCCCCTTGGCCCCCTCGGGCACTGCTGCGGCTCACCTCCTTCCCTCCCACTTTGGAGAGCTCGTCCAGATAAATATCGATGAAGTGGAACCTCACTCCATTAGGAGACTGACTCTCGGGGCACAGGATCTCCTTCATCAAGACATCTAGGAAAAGCTTGATTCGGCTGAAGAAAAAACACACGTGGTTCTTTTAAAGATAGCGTGCCAAGAGAAAATGAAGGTATTTAGCTGAGTGCCTACACTGCACAACTATCAACGCAAGGCTAACACAACAGTTTCAGAAGGAAATAAGCACTTAAATCAGTATAAAATGCTGTCATATGCGCTTAACTATTTTATGCTCCTCCACTGGATTTTAAGCTCCCATATTTTGCTTCTCATGGTACTATATGGAGCGGGAGGCATAGACCAGGCAATTCATGTTTGTGGATTAACTGAAAGCCTGAGAAATCCCTAGTACCCTATAAGCTTTAAGGCCACCAAATGCTAACTCAAGTAGTGGACCAACCTTTCTTCCCAGCCATCTCGCTTCAGAACTTCAAAGGACTGCCTCAGGACCAGCCGGATCAGCTACAGATAGACAGTTTTTGTTACAAAAAGGAAGGAAAGAAATATTAATCAGCTCAGTGGAATGAGGAGACCAATCAAACTAGTGTAGCCTGGTTCCCAAAAGTGAAAAAAATAACCGTAATAACTACAATAACTTCTAGATCAAAAAACGTATTCACTAATGATCCTTAACTCATCCCCAACAGCCGGAAAAGCCAGAGCGGAGACGCCCTCTAGGACCCAGTCAAATGAGGAGACCATGTCTCCTCCTTCACACTAGCCTGGAGCCCATACTGCCTCACAAATAAACCTTTCCACTCTTTGTCTGACAAAGGCCATTCTTTTCTTCACATGAACTTTTGAAGGAAATGTGGACGACAGCTGCAGATCTTACCATATAGTATTTGTCCAGGCGTAGCCTGTCTATTCCCTTCCATTCTCGATTCATGGTTTGCCAAAAGGTCTGAATGAACAGGTGTTCTGCAGTGAACAAAAGGCTCTGAATGCTTGGTTTCCATGTTAACATCTTACCACAAAGCAAGAAAATAACGAAGAGAAACAAATTCGTATTATTTATTATCTACATTTCTCAAGAATTCTCGGGCAACCTGAAAATTTGGCCAATAATGAAACAGGCTCAATAATTTCTTTCACATTTAAATGAAAACATATTTTTATAAAGCAGGAAGGCTGTTAATATATTATTGTTTGATTAGAATGCTCTCTGGAGCCTTTTTCCTTATCTGCTGCAAAGCCATGTTTCTCTTACAATTGAGATTCCCGATCCCTTTCTATGGACATTTCCACCGCACCTGTACCCAACAACAATCCAAAACCACTCATCTCGGCGAACACTTATATGATCCATTTAGAAACTCAGCTTTTAGTCTGATGTTAGGTTTCACCTGGACTATAAGTACAAAAAATTCTACTTTTTGGTTCTGAGCCACGAAACAAGCACTTTTTCATTGAAAAACAATTTCTGTTGATTCCTTTCAGCTTTACTTTTTTTTGCACAATTCCTCGATATGTGCAAATCTATACATCGTAAGTAGAATTTTGTTCATTATGAGTAAGCTAATATTCAGAGAACCATTAGGAGGTATTAAAGTCATGAGGATGGTTTTGTTCTGAGAAGTCCTAGGCAGAATAAACTAATTGCACTGTCTTTTTCTTCCTCTGTAAGCAGTCCTGAGTCAGAAAAACCTTAATCTCTCTTTGTCTTTCTTTTTGGTAAAGAGGACTGACTTGATAGCTTACTACCAGTGACAGCCCCAACCTGGAGCAGGGTAAAGCTGCCACCCAGAGATGACTGTGAACACTGGCATCTGGACAGCTGCCTCTGCAAGTGTCCAAGTGACTCAGAATGTGTAGATTCTGGAGGACTGTTATTTCTATTTCTTTTTTTGGAGACAGAGTCTCACTCTGTTGTCTGGGCTAGAGTGCCGTGGTGTCAGCCTAGCTCACAGCAACCTCAAACTCCTGGGCTCAAGCAATCCTTCTGCCTCAGCCTCCTGAGTAGCTGGGACTACAGGCATGCGCCACCATGCCCAGCTAATTTTCCCTATATATTTCTAGTTGTCCAGCTAATTTCTTTCTATTTTTAGTAGAGACGAGGTCTCACTCTTGCTCAGGCTGGTCTCAAACTCCTGACCTCAAGCGATCCTCGCTCCCGCCTCGGGCTCCCAGAGTGCTAGGATTACAGGCGTGAGCCACCATGCCCGGCCAGGACTGTTATTTCTAAAAACATTTTTTTGAAATCTTCGAGGTGTCAAATGATTCTCCACAAGATACCTCCTTCATTGTCTTACCAAGTCAACATTTATCATAGCTTTGAAAAACAGAAACAGCCAGTCGCCTGATGTCTACACAGTATTAGTACTAGGTTTATATTAAACTAGTACTTTGGAAAACTTAAACTTTAAAGGAAGGAGAAGAAACAATACTGACTAGATTTCCTAGGCAAGTAAGCAAATGTGATGAACAAGGAAGCGTTGAAAGTCATGAAAATATCAGGACTTACGAGCCTCTGAGTTGTTAACAACATGGATGAGTTGGGAAATAGTGTTCGCTAGCTCCTCCTGCAAAGGTGGGGTTGGGGAGAAACATTGGGATTATTACGTGTTAACACTGCGATGACAGCACCATGGCCTGCAGCCTCCTCCCATCTCTGCCCAGAGGAAAGTCTGTGCATCTTATTCTCAATGTCACTTCTACTAACAAGTATGTATTTGAATATCTGAACTTTATCAAATGTAAAATTCCTAATTTTAATGGACTGTTATGCTAACTTGATGTCTCTGAGAATTGTTTTAGCTGCGTGTTAAAAAAAAAGCATCTCTAGTGACTGTTTCCCCGAAAATAAGACATGGTCTTATATTTATTTTTCCTTGAGAAGACACCCGAGGGCTTATTTTCAGGGGATGTGTTATTTTCCCCTCAAAGCCTTAGCTTGCAGCACGCACAGGATGGCCGGGACCTGACAGGGGGAGCCGATCTTGTGGGTGGGGCTGCCCGCACCTTTCTGGTCACCTCTGGGATAGTGGCTGTCACAGTGGGGCAGATGAAAAGGGCTGCTCATCTTTTTTACCGCTTCGCCACGAAATGCATGGGTTGTGCAGATGCGCTGCATAGCCATGCTCATCACTAAGGCTTATTTTCGGGGTAGGGCTTCTATTGCGCAAATGCTTAGAAATCCTGCTAGGGCTTATTTTATGGGTAGGGCTTATTTTCAGGGAAACATGGTAACTGTTCAAATAAACTACAGAAGAAATACATTATCTGTCAATTCCTGCCTTTAAAACTGTAACTTCAATTGGGATCCTCCCATAATCCCTGAAATCATGTGAAATACAAAGGACAGCAGGGTCGACATGGATGGTCAGACACCGGGGATCCTCACTCCGCGGTATCAGGAAGTCCCCTCTACCTGGTTGGTCAGAGACAGGGTGGAATGCAAAGGCAAGCCACCCTTCCAGGCGTCACTCCTCGGAAGAGCAAGCCCTGCTGAGGTGTGACAGGCTCGTTCACAGGGAGGATCCTGTGATGTGGCCCACAGAGAGGCCTGCCACTGAGTGTCAACAGAGGTCCAGAAGGAAAGAACGATCCTCTTGGGTATCACTCACACTTCACCTGGCCTCAGTTCTCCTCATTTTGAAAACGAGGTTCCTGTTCATCAGTTTTCTTCCACTAAAGCTGCTGGTTGTTACTTTTGAATGTAACCTAACAATATTTTGCCCTGAAATCCTACTCAAAATATATTCAGTAGATAAAAAATAAGAAATCAAAACAAGTTATTACATGGCTTGGGAGAAGTGGCAAGACTGCACAGTAATGCCCAGAAAGGGAACTCTACCATGAAGATCCCTCGCACCAGAGGTCTGCATGCTCGGCCCCTCTAGGCCCACACCAGCACATCAGCTTGCTCCTGCACGTCAGAGCAGAGCTTTTGCAAAGTGAGAACCTCTATTTCAGTCCTAGTTTTGGTGGAAGTGCTCAGCACATTCAGCAGACAGAGACAGATTTCACATGTGTGTTCTAGTGAGCTGTGCAGTTTGCACCGAGGTGTAAGTGCTAGAGGCTTAGGCTGCGAGGGCCTGCTGCTTGTCCCGAGTTTCACAGGGTCTTGGACTGACCCTCCGCCATGGCATTTCTGACCACACACAATTCACTTAATAGAAGACGAAACACAAACTTTAAAATACGTAATGTAAAACCTACCATGGAACCCTATAAAATTATGATAGAAATAATAAACCTATAATTTATACATATTCTTCCTTTTATTTGAGAAGATAATTAACAATGCTTTGATACTGCAATCCTTTCTGTATGTACAAAAGGTGAAAAAATGACCCCTAGAGGCATTGATTTTCACTTCGTTTATGTATATTAAACGATCAAATCTTTTACCCATCTGTTGCAAAAATCTGGAAATATGACAAAGAGAACTGCACGTTACCTGTAGAAGGGGTTCATCCTGCACCCACATGCAATAGAAGAGTCCTTTCCATATTTTTAGAAGTTCTTCTTGACTGAAACCTCCTGGAGGGCAAAACAGCACAAAAATCTTATTTCCTTTCTTAAAGTTTGGAACTGCCTCAGAAGTGGTGAAAATAATATACCACATAACATTTTAATTCCCTTCTACCTGCAGATGCCTTAAAAAAAACTGAAGCACATTTTTCCTTATTGTTACAAGTTCTTACTGCACGCGTAGTTTTAGCAGCTCCAGGGCAGAGTGGCTGTGGGCGCGCGGCCCCATCAAGTCCCATCATCTGAGCAATGTGAGCAAACATGTCATCGCAACAAAAAGTGAATGAATGAAGTGGCCATTTATAGAGTCAATTCCCCTCAAGCACCCTCCTGACTTAAAACTAGCATCTCTCCTGCACACCAGTGTTTTCACTGGTCTTGGGAAATAAAAATGCAAACCCTACAAGAGATGCAGAATTTGCCCACATCGCATGAAGCCCCAGGGACTGGCAGACCCACTCCTGAAGAAAAGAAGGTCGGCCAGGTTGACGCAGGGAGCTCCAGATAGCGTATCTAAAAGTTGAAGGACTAGGAAAGCCCCCAGGAAACCAACACAGCTAGGGAATATTGTTGCAAAAATGACCCTTTGTAAAGGATCCTGCTATGAGATCAAAAGTGGCTGTGTCCCAACCTCCCTCCCTGTCTTGGCAGCCATTTACTGAGCAAATTGCCTGTAGTATGCAGATCACCTGGGCTGGCCTCGTTCTGACTCCAGCTGCAAGAGGGCTCTGCCTCTGCCTCTACCAGCCAGGAAGAAGCCACCAGTTTTGCTCAGCCTTGTCTCTTGGATTGTGCAGGTGTCATGAAATACTTGAGTGACATAAGGAATCACAAAATGATATGGTAAGTGTATACTCTTGGAAATTCCAAACCTATGGATCATGAAATCAGAAAACAAACAGAACCCTCAAGTCTTAATGCATGTTTACAAATGGTCTTTATTCATATTTTACTAGGAGGTTCAGGAGAAATCTTTTGGAGTAGTAAAGTAGGAATGCAAACAATATTTGGAATCAATGTGATCTCAATACTCTAAATGATGATTACAAAGCCACAAAAGACCCCTTTTGATGGACGGAAGTTTAGTGTATTTAGAGTGAGATTACCCTATTTTACAGATATTGCTTTCTAAGTTACTAAAGACTTTTCTCATCAGCAATTTTATAAAGGTGTGTGTGTGTGTGTGTGTATATATATATATATATATTTAAGAGTCTAGCAGCTTTTATTAGGTTTGTCTCCTGTGCCATGAATTTACAGGGGATAGGTTCCAGCAGCTCAAGGTCCGTTCCTTGCTTCTCACAAGTGTGCTATGCTTATTACGCCATGAATTCATAGAGAATAGGTCCCAGCACCTCAGGCTCCTTTCTGTCGCTTCTCACAAAGTGAGACACCTATTATGCCATGAATTCATAGGGAATAGGTTCTAGAAGCTCGGGCTCCTTTCCATTGGTTCTCACAAAGTGTGCTTCTCTGGGTGGAGCAGGCTGTCGATTCGGTTGAACCCAGGTACCTCTCTCTTTGGCTTCCTTCTTTTTCTGATCATTTTCCTTCACACGTTTCAGGAAGCTATCTTGGCTTTTAGAGTGCCTAATGTGCTCAATACGCACATTAATCCTCTTGGTAAGAATCTTGCCCTTAACTTGTTTATTTACAACAATTCCAACAGCATGCCAACACTGTAGACTCTTCCAGTTTTGCCATGGTAACATTTGTGGGGCATGCCTTTTTGAACAGTACCCATTCCTTTGATGTCTATAATATCACCTTTCTTGTAGATTCACATGTATGTGGCCAAAGGAACAACTCCATGTTTTCATAAAGGCCTAGAGAACGTGTATTGGGCGCCTCTCCTCTTTCTCTCTGTGTTCGTCATTTTGGCGAATTACTGGAAGATGGTGGCTCTGGCTGAAAGGCTATCAAGGTATATTTTGATTTTCTTGTTATGGTTTCCCATTTAAAACCAAGATATCAGAAACTATAGTAATTAAAGTACATTTCCCTTAAGATTTGGACAGAAGATGTACCAACTGGTCTCCCAACCCCCTTGTTTGAAACAAGTCACACCCGGGGATCTTCCTATTGATAATGTAAGTACAGCAAGAGTGATAAACTCCACCAGAGCCCAGCCAGCTGCAGTCAGATCGCAGCAACTTTTTTGTCACAGTGACTCCCACGTATCTACAATCGTGTTTAATGACTGCATATATCCCTAGTGTATTAGAGCTGTGGTCCCCAACCTCCGGGCTGTGGTCCCCAACCTCCGGGCTGTGGCCTGTTAGGAACCGGGATGCGCATCACCACCTGAGCTCTGCCCTCTGCCCCCTCCTCCCCACCACCCTGGGCCATCTGTGGAAAATTGTCTTCCATGAAACTTAGGAACTGGGGGGCCCCACAGCAGGAGGTGAGCAGTGGGCAAGTGAGCAAAGCTTCATCTGTATTTACAGCTACTCCCCATCACTCGCATCACCGCCTGAGCTCCCCCCAACCTGCCTGTGGAAACACTGTCTTCCAGGAACCGAGTTCCTGCTGACAAAAAGGTTGGGGACTGCTGTATTACAGGATCTGGGCAAGGATCATCAATGGCTGCTAAAACATTAGACGAAAAGATATGGAGAAATTTTAAAACGGATGGGTCAGATCAACCACACCCAAAACCACACTGATGGATCCTTAGCTTGCATAGACAATCATTCATTTAGATGCCAGAGCTGAGACAACAGGAAGAACACAGCACTGACCTGTTAAGTAGTCTTACAAAAACAGAACTGAAAAAAACCTCTAAATTATGTCAAATCTAACTATCAATACTAGTTTACAGGAAATATAGGGGACAAGAGGAACATGGTAAATGAGACAATGGGATGCAGTCAGCAAAACCCCAAGTGTGCACCAGTCTATAGGACAAATGTCCCATGTAGTCTGACAAACTGCATGGAGAAAATGGACAAGAACGGTTAGAGTTTAAGACAGTCTTAGCAGACATAACCATATTCAAAAAGTGGGTCTTATTTGGATTCTGATTTGTCATAAAAGACATTTATGAGATGTTGAGAAAAACTAAACAGATTGGATATTTCATCCTACGAAGGATTTTTTTTAAAGGTATAATAATCACACTGTGGCTATGTTTAAAAAAAAAAAAAAAGAATCCTGGAGTCCAGTTGCTTAAGGCTTCTTGGGTGTGGCTCCAGGCCATGGTCCTCAAATTTGGCCCAGAATAAACTTCTTTAAGTTATTAAAAAAAAAAAAAAAAAAAGGAATCCTTGTCTTTCAGAGGTGCATGCTGAGGTAACTGGAAATGAAATGGGATGTCTGGGATTCAGCTCACAACAACCCAGTGGAAAGGAGGAAGTGGGCAGATTAGGCCGACTAGCCAGGTATCGGCCAATGATGAAGCAGAGCCATGAGTACACTTTGTATATATTTAAAATATTCCTTAATAAAAAGAAGAAAAAGAGTACATGAGATTACCCAAATTACACCATGCTGTTTTTTCTTTTTGGTTTTAAAAACACTCTTCATAATAATCTAACCAGAAAGGCATGAACATTAATCGACTTAAAAGCAAAAAGAGGATTTAAAGGATACAGATTACTGAGGTCAGGTACCGGGCATTCCCTGTTCTTGCCAAGTAGCTAGGCTGTTAGTCCCTCTCAGGCTCCCCACCTTCAAGCAGGGCGTGGAGGGAAGCCGTGATCTGGGTGGGCTCACCCCACATGAGGGGAGGTGGCAGCAATCTGGGCTTCAATCAAATCAGCAGGAATTCCCTTGGCCACAAGGATGGGTTCAAGAATGGACAAACCACTTGCTGCGAGGCTCGGGCTTTAGGAATTCTCTAGCTTTCTCCCACTGCACTTGAAGTGAATGCAGTTTGTCCCTGTGCTCAGCCACCTTGCCACACAAGGGGAGCCTACATGAGAATAGAGATACTCTCAGGGGAGTTGAGTCTACAGTGGAGGACAAGTGGGCTCTGGAGCCAGCAGTAGAACTTCTGCACGAAGCTCTGCTCCATTCCCGCCTCCAAACTAGTGTAGCGTGGATTGTCAGGTTGCAACTGGAAAAGAGTCCTAACTAATAAAAGCACATTTTTATTGCAAAGAACCTATATACCACCACCAAAGTTACAGTCACAATTTAGCCTTGCTCACTGCCTCCTGAGTCCCAGTTTCCTTCCTAAAAGGACCACTGCTACCTGTCTGATGTGCAATTTTTCCAGATCTTTCCTGTGCATTTACAAACAGATACATGTATTGCAAAAAATCACAGTTGTGCAAATGTGATCTATATGGCATCCCATTCTGCATTCTGGCCTTTCTCACTTAAAAACAGGATCCTGTACATTTATCTCCAGATGGTCCTCCAGTCAGTTAAGTAAGGGATAATCCAGCCCAAGCAAGAGTGAGACGCTGTCTCTGCAAAAAATAGAAAAATTAGCCGGGCATGGTGGCATGCGCCTGTAGTCCCAGCTGCTCAAGAGGTTGAGGCAGGGGGATCACTTGAGCCCAGGAGTTGGAGGTTGCAGTGAGCTATGATGACGCCACTGCACTGTAGCCAGGATGAGTGAGATCCTGTCTCAAAAAAAAAAAAAAAAAAAGGGATAATGTAACATGCCTAATATCTTTGGACGACTCATATTATAGGCAAAGGTACAACAAAGGTGCAATGATGTGCTACACAGGTTCCTATAATGGATAATAGCAGATTAGAACAAAGAAGGCCAATGGATTCTTGACAGTGGGCAGGAAAGGGAGCTGGACAAGAAAACATATTGTCTCATCTCTAGGAGGCAACAAAAAGAGTGGAAATAAATTCTTGGCTAGGACCCAGCTTGCTACTGACAAGTGTATAGTATCAGAAAACTGTCAGCCAACCTTTGGGCCTCAGTTCCCTTAACTATAAGGTATGTAAGGTTTATAGTTAGGGTCAAAATCAAGAACACGTATGAGAAGCACTGTAAGAGTAAAGCACTATCCAACTGCTGTATGTTACTGTAGTAATTGTCTTACTTTCTTCCCACTGTTTGCCAAAGTTTTTTCCCCGTTATAAACTTGTTTTCACCTAGGGATTTTAGTTGGTAAAAACAAGTTGCCAATTTTTGAAGCATTCAAAGTCAAAGAGGGATGTGCTCGTTATTGAGTTATTTTCAGAACCTTGAAAGGAGAAGTACATATCTGAAGCAGTTTCAATCCACTGTTGTTTCTTGATGTATCTTTTCTTCTTAGGGCTAAATTTTTTAAACTTAATACAACTAAGTTTCTGACAATACAGTATAGCTTTAGTTATTTCAAAACCAATGAAGTGAACATGAAAGTGAGACATGAGGACATATTAAATACCAGGAAGTTTTGAAATGAGCAAATCCAACAGCTACTCTCATCACAAAATGAGCCCAGAAGCCATTTGAGATTGGGGTAAAGTGTTATACTTTAACCTACCCCAGTGTCAAAATATCTACAACTCCTATTTATTGTAACTCTTGGGTAGAGAGCTCTAAGCCCATCACTGTGAAAAAACGCTTACTTCTCTAATCACCTTCACTAAATCTAAGATATCATCAACCATAAGATGTACTGTTATTTTATATGCCACTAAAAAGAGAGCACTGATACAAATGAAACTGTCACAAGGCTGATTTTAAGATGCACCCCAATTTTAGCAGATATTAAATGTTTAACACTGCAGAACTGATAAGACAAGGATTGTCTATTTTGTTCATTACTGTATTCCCAGTGCTGACAGTAGTATACATATTAATAATAGCACACAGATGGTGCTCCATAAGTGTTTGCTGACCATGTGCATGCATGAATAAAGTGGGACAAATGAGCCCTCATGAGCTAAAACCACGGGCAGTGCTTATGGTTTAACTGCGAGCACGCAACATGAACAGTGAAAGCACAGGAGCAATATTCTGGTACTTTAAGCAGTTCCAAGATTTCCAGTTTGTTTTTAAGATCACAAAGCTATGTATGTACGTTGCTGATGGGCAGCTATGTGTTTCAGGAAAATCTCAAGATTTCCTTTTCTATGCCCAAGATAAGATACAAAGAAATTTGAGGCTGTCAATGAGAGTCAAATGTCAGGCCAAGTTATTTCCAAACTGGCGTTTCTATTTTGATACAGCATAGCATAGCTGTGTTAGAGACTTTGTTTTTTCTTGTCCCATTATCACTGTCTGAGGCATTCACTCTGCAGTTATTTTTTTAAAGCCCACTCTACTCCACACATGATATCGTGATGAACAAGAGGTGTAAGACAGGTAACTCTGTGTGCTGTGGGTGCTAACCAGATAGGCCCAGGTATAAACTGACTGGCCTCAGGCCCCACATCACCTGAGCACCTGCAGATTCTGGGCCTGCTCTCCAAAGGGGCATGAGCATAGGCTCTGTCTGTCCATCTCAGCCCCACACGTATTGCGTCTGGTCTTCTGTTCTTGTACCCCACTAAGATGTACTCCTTGTATGGCTGGATGTACGGCCACTTCCAGCTAAGCAATGTAGCTTGGTGTCACAACAGAGACACACTGGATGTTTTCGAATCCTACAGCAGTGGAGGTGAGATGCTAGGGAAGGCTTTTTGGAGGAAGTGATACTGAATTGAATGCTGGGAGTGAAGAAGCGGTGGGATTCTTTGCAGAGTGAACATGAGAAGCAATGGTAGAGAGGTTAGAAATAGTGTATTATACACCAGGAATCATGAATGGTTCTGTCAACAGAGCATGAAGCTGGCATGTGGGGGCTTAGGCAGAGGACAGCTCATGACCTGCAGACACTGAATTTCAAGGAAGGTGGTGACATGATCAGAGTGTTTCAGGAAGATGACCATCAGGTGGGATGTGCAGGACAGATTCAAGGAGGATGTAGATGGAGTTAAGGAGATCTGGGAGGGAGTAAGGAGGTGCAGAAGTCTGGGTGAGATAAAGAAGGACTACGGTCAGAGTGGAGTATTTGAGGAGGTGAAGGAAGTAGGATCTAGGGACACTGGATGTGGGTCAGGGTAGAGCATGAATGAGAGAGAGGAGCCCAGAACAATCCCATGTGTCTGGCTGGGGTCTGAGTGGATGGTGGAAACTAGCAACCCAAAGACAGCACAAGTGGCAAAGGAGCAGCAGAACCAGAGAACAGGTTGGGGGAAGAAAATGAGTCACCTTTTGGCATTTGAACGCGAGGTGCAGGTGGAGATGCTGGGCTAGCAGGGCACATCTGAACTGAAAGGAGGAAAGGGCTGGACTAGCAATTTAGGTTTAGGAGCCATCAGTATACACCAGATACCTGGAACCATGACAGTAAATGAAATCTCTCAGGGTGATCCCAACAGAACTGAAGTTAGGAATTTTGGTCTTCATTCCTCTATCAGATTTCCCACAAATGTGTATTTTCTTTTTTTGTGGTAATCTTTTGTGGTTTCTCCTTAAAATAAAACAAACTGAGAATGTCAGTAATGGGGGAGATACTATCTATTCTTTTAAGCAGATTCCAAATATATTAGTATCAGCAGTAACTAAATCAAACCTTAACTCACTTAGTGCAACACAAAACCTCTTTCACACGTTGTAGTTCATATCTTATGCGCTCACTTACGGGTTTACAGAAAATATACTGGCTCAGGTAAATGAAATCCTTCAACGGCAAAATCCAAACTACAAATACAGAGCCCCGTGTGAACTAACTGCCACTGCCTACATTTCCCATTTTATCTCCTAACACTTTCCTGCCTCTGCGTGGCCTGCTTCCTCGCTTCCCCGTCTAGATTTCAGTTGAACATCACCCCTAGGGAGGGCTTCCCGGAACCGCCTGTCTAGGGGAGCTCCCTCCTTCACTGTTTCCATTCCCTGGTCTTCATTTCCGTTACTACATTTACGAACTCTAGGTTATTCGCCTGCGCCCGCCTCTCTTACTACCAGAAGTTCCCGGAGGGCAGGGGTATCGTCTTCTCTCCCGCTAAAGGAAGGCGGGAATCAGTGACGAGGACGCCGGAGCAACCCAGGAGGAGCGCAGGGACTCAAGGTGCAGGCTCGGGGATCTGACAAGCCTGGGTCTGTTTTCGGCTCCCCGCTCACGGGGACTTTCACAACTGACTCGAGCCCTCAGCGCCCGTTTCCTCGACTGCAAGATGGCTCTAGGCACAGAAGGAAGCGGATCCCCCAGCGCGGACACACACAGCACACGCCGGTGTCGCGAGTCACTGCACGGCCAGCGGAAGCCGCCTGCCGTCCCCCGCCCGCCCGGGTGGGCTCCGCCGCGGCCCCGGCCCCGGCCCCGACCCTAGCCCGCCATGTGGCGCGGCTGACCGCCGCCGGCGCCCACCTGTCTCCTTCTGCGTCTTCACGCTGATGTACTGGCGCAGCTTCTTCACCGCCCGGTCCCGGATGCCCTTCTCGTTGGACGCCAGCCGCTGAGCAAACTGGATCTCGGCCGGCTGCATGGCAGGGGCCATCGCGCCCGCTGGAGCATCCCCGGCCGCGCCGCCAGCCGCCGAGCGCGCCGCAGCAGCCGAGCCGCCCCGGCCGCGACTGCGCAGACAGCGGCGCGCGCGGGCTGATGGCGTCACAAAGGCGCCGGCTCGCAGCGCGCGCTGGTACGGTAGAGAGCGCGGCCGTGGCTCCCGCAGCAGGCGGAGCGGCCTGGCTTGGGTGCGCGCGCCGCGCCTCTTTGGGTTGCCAGAATTCAGGGCCGTTGCCTGCGAGGTTAGCCAGGGTGGGTCTTGAGCAGGAAGAGACGAAGGGCTAGCTGTAAATGGCCTAGGATCTTTTTTCTTATTATTTCTCAGAGACAAGGTCTCGCTCTGGTACCCGGGCTGGAGTGCAGCGGTGCCATCCTAGCTCACTGCAGCCTCGAACTGCTGGCGCAAGCGGTCCTCCCGCCTCAGCCTCCCGAGTAGCTGGGACTGCAGGCATGCGCCACCATGCCCGGCTAATTTTTTTCTATATATATTTTTTAGTTGGCCAATTCATTTCTTTCTACTTTTAGTAGAAACAGAGTCTCGCTCTTGCTCAGGCTGGTTTCGAACTCCTGACCTTGAGTGATCGCCCCCCCCTCGGCCTCCCAGAGTGCTGGGATTACAGGCGTGAGCCACCGCGCCCGGCCTGGTGTAGGACCTTTAAGCACAACCAACAAACCCCGTCCACGGGCCGGCTCGCTCCTGCGACGTCCAGGCAGGAGTTTTTAATTGTGCCCTGCAGACCCCAGGTGCAGTTGAGGCTGGAGGAGAGGCCGACACCGGGGCCCGCGTGGCGGATGGAGGGGCGACTGCAGAGGCGCTGCCCCCCGCTCCGCGTCCCGGCCGGCAGCCCCCGGCGGGTGTATGCAGCGCCCCGCCTGCTAATGCCAGCGAGGGAGGCAATGTTGGCAGTCGTGCGGTGACTTTGGGTTCTTCTGTCTCCCGCGGACTCGGCAGTTGGGCGGGGGCAAGAGAAAGGACTAGGCGGCTCCTCCAAACTTGGGGTGGTTATCTGATCTTTACCTTTTACATTTGCACAGGCTTACGAGGTGCGCGTGCAACTGTGTCGCATGCATATAAGGCTTGGCGGTCAAGTCAGGGTATTTAGAGCGTCGTCTCCTGAAGACGACGCATTTGTTCGCAGTCGCCCCGCTCCGCCAGCAAACACGGAATCATTCCCCCAACTGTGCCGGTCCCTTCCGGGGAGGCCTTCCTTCCTGCACGCAGCTACCTGGCCTCCCCAGGTGCCCTGTTGACGCGCCGTCCCCCTTAGGCCCGCGTTCCTCGCCTAACAGGAACCGATTCGACTTATTTGCCATTTGCTCCAGGGTCTCACTTTCCTTCTGCTTCGCAGTGGACAAGTTTCAAACCCCGACCAAGCCAGGAGAGCCGAAGCGGACCTTGCCGAAGCCACCCTTGTCCCCGAGACCGAAAATGCTGCGTAAACTCTACGAGGTTTGAGCCTCGCGGCTGTCCGTTCGGATCCTTCCTCCCCTCCCCCGCCCCGCTCCTCGCGTGTACGCGTTCCCGCGCTTTCTGGCGTAAGGGGTCAGAGGGCGCGTTGCCGCGCAGGCGCACAGAGCCGGAGCCGCCGCGGCCATGGGCGAGGCGGGCGTCGCCGAGGAGACCTGCTGGGTCAGTGAGGCGGCCCTGGCAACCGCCTGGTGTCCGAATTGTCGCCTTTCCCTCAGCTCCCCTCAGGGCCTCGCACAGTGCGCTGGGAAACGGCCGCCTCCGTCGCGTGGTGGAGAGGCCCGACGACCTCCGCGCGGTCCAGCGTGGGTTGGGCCCCGGCGGGAGGCGACCTCCGCGGGGCCGGGTCTGGGGGCGGTGGCTGGTGCCGGGCGGCGTGGCTAACGAGGGGTCATTCCTCTCTCCGTGCCCTCCCGGAGCCAGTCCTCCTCAGAAGGGCCCCGTCACCTGCTGTGGGACTTAGTGCCAGGTTTCCACAAATTTTTCCATTGCCTTCAGCGTGGGAGAAGGCGCTTGGGATTTAGAGCCAGATCCGTGTTCAAATCCCAGTTCTGCCCTTAGTGCTGCGCTGGGGAAGTCGCCGTGCCCGCGCCCCAGTGTCTGCTGTGGACAACCTCGGAGGGTCGGCGTGAATGTTAGGCCAGACGACCGGCAGGGGGCTTGGCACACCTAGTAGGAGTCCAGTAAAGCTGACTCTTTTCTTTCTTTTTTTTTTTGAGACAGAGTCTCACTGTGTTGTCCAGGCTAGAGTGAGTGTCGTGGCGTCAGCCTCGCTCACAGCAACCTCAATCTCCTGGGCTCAAGCGATCCTGCTGCCTCAGCCTCCCGAGTAGCTGGGACTACAGGCACGCGCCACCATGCCCGGCTAATTTTTTCTATATATTTTTACTTGTCCAACCAATTTCTTTCTATTTTTGGTAGAAATGGGGTCTCTTGCTCAGGCTGGTTTCGATCTCATGAGCTCAAACGATCCTCCTGCCTCCGGCTCCCAGAGTGCTAGGATGACAGGCGTGAGCCACCGCGCCCGGCGGCATGCTTTTTAAAACGATGAACACAAGAGGCGTGAATGAAAAGGAAGCAAATTGACTTGGGCTGTTTTAGTCACATGAAGGGAAATGTAATCTTAAGATCTGATTGTTCTTTTAGCACATGGGAGCTAAAGAAGAATTTGTTAAAGTCAGAAAGAAAGACCTGGAGCGGCTGACCACTGAAGTGATGCAAATACGGGACTTCTTACCAAGAATACTAAATGGGGAGGTACTAGAAAGCTTCCAGAAATTAAAGATTGTAGAAACAAGTGAGTCTTATTTCATTTTAGCAGTCATTGGTGGTAATAGTAATCTGTTCTAGCAGATTTACCTTAGGTAAATAACTGTAAATGAATTGTAAACAAATTTTAAGGTTCCGTTACCGTCCTTATAATTACATTTGGGAGAGTCAGATAGAACCTAAGAAAGGGAGGTCCTCTCAAATGGGTGACTTGGACCTATATGAGTTGGTCGTGGAGGCAAGGTTGCAGCCTTTCTGTGTGTCTAGTACCGGCTTCTCTTTCCCTCCCGCTCTCTTCACTGCCAGAAGAATTTTATACTTTGGATAACTGAAAAGCTCTACTCTAAAAATTGTCTTTTCTTGTGTAAGTTAAGGATTTCACCATGTGGAAGCCTTGCATGGAGTTAACTGTATCTGTAGACACACCTGGATCTCTAGGGGGACAGGCAAGGTCAGTTTCTAATACTGATTTAAATTTAGGCTTGCTAGTACTTGTCCATGCAGATTTTTGAGATCTGAGCTGAACCATTATGTCAGATACCAGCCTAGGAGCCTATTGAAATTCTTGGGGATAGTCTGAGGTTGATTCAGCACTTGCCTGATTGAGGCTGAATTACAACCAAATCAGCTGTTGATGGTTAAGGCTAATTCACCGCATTGCATGTGACGTTAGCCGTCTCTGTGTGGCTTCTAGAAAAGGTGCATCCAGGGTGCTGAGGTAGTGGTTATAGCTCTAGTTATGGCAAGTTAATTCAAGAATGCAAGTTTCTTGCTTAAGTGAGGGCCACAAATTAATCTGTGATGACTTGATTAAAGTCAGACTTTGGGAGACCTTGTCTCACAGCCCTGGCCTTCCCCAGCCTTCCCCCTGGCCTATCCCCATTGATCTCTCTGGTGATTCCTTCTCAGTCTCCTTTGTTGATTTATCCTTCTGTGCTTAACAGCCTTCAGGTAGTCAGTTGCTTGAGGCTCTGGTCAGTGGGCCGGACGTATCCAGTTAGAAGGGAGAATGCTCATGGTTACCGTAGAGCCCTGCCCTGTGTATATTGTCTTTGGAGTCCTCAGATCCACTTTCCTCTCCTCTCCCTTGTGTGCTCTGGGAGGTGGACTTCTAGTGATGGGGTTCTCTTCTTCCTGTACTGGCTGCCAGTGGGGCCCACCAAGGGAAGGCATTGCTGGGTGGAGAGAGAGGTGTGGGTGTTTCCTCATGCTCCTTCCCTGCTCTGCTGCTATTCTCTGGCAGTAGCTGCATCACTCCACAACTAGGGCTTCCACCTGGAAGTCCTCCTTTACAGTCCCAGCTCTCGCTGACTTGAGGAAGGCTATTTTCTCTCCCTGCGCTTTAGCCGTAGGGCTGTTGCTAGTCCCTGGTGCTTTACCATCCCTTGTTGGTTCCCTTATCCCTGCTCTACCTTCTGTAAAGTCTCAACATCCTGGTTGATTTCTGTTTCCTGCTGGATGTACTTTGGTTGCCAAAGCACCAGGTCACTGACTTCTTAATTTCCCTAATTCTGATCTCATGCTTTTCCATCAACTTCTGAGAATAATTACTCATTCCTTGTGCATTTATCTTTAGGAAAGTGCTGCCCCGTAGCAGAGTATGTCAGCCTGTTGTTTTGATTATATTTCTCACTGTAAACTACTTGGCATTGGAAAAATACATCAGGGTCTTATGCGTGAGTGAGCATGAGTCAATCTTTAGAGATCAGTCCTTCTGTCAAAATCAAACTAAGTGAGGGCCACAAATGAATCTGTGATGACTTGATCAAAATCAGACTTTGGGAGACCTTGCCTCCTAGCTCTGGCCTTCCCTGTGCTTTGTAGTCGCAACTTTTCCCACTGATCTCTCTGGTGTTTTCTTCTCAGTCTCCTTTGCTGACTTATCCTTCTCTTCTTAGTAGCCTTCACGCAGTGCAGTTGCTGGAGGCTCAGGCCTAGGCTCCCTTCTTGCCCCACGCATGGCCTCTCCCTAGGCAATTTGATACACACTCATAGCTTCGGTTACTATCTTGATGCCAGTGGCTGCTGGATTTATCTCTAGCCCTAAACTCTCCTGCAAGCTCAGGGCCCGGTGTCTGACTCCTACTTGGTATTTCTTCCTGCTTGTTTCATGGTCGTTTCAAATTCTAAATGTCCCAGCCTATAGTCTAAGATCACTAGGAACAGACTCAGAGTCTGACAAAGTCAAGTTTATGGCTCTTTGCAATGGGGAGGCTACACACCACAGGGAACTGTGAGACATCTCACCAAACAAAGAGAAGGATAGAGTTGTTATAGGACTTGGGGGCAGGGTGGAATCTAGGTGCAGTGTAAATGCAGCAGTGTTTTGATGGGCACAGCACAAAGTAGAGTTGTGTGTAAAGGGGTCAGTGTCAAGTCTGACTGAAGTCGGCCCAGGTCCTGTTTCCTTGAAAACTATAAAGCCCAAATAGACGTGGAACACTGTGTCTAAAAATCTCTTATTTAAAGCTCTGCAGTTGGCTGGAAATCAAAGCTGTTCCTCTGTGTCATAGTGACTTACATCCTGCAGGTAAGAGTGGGATGTTTCCTTCTTACTGGTATAATTTCAAACAGCAAAATTTCCAAGAGTCTGGGATTTTACAGAATAAGGTTTCTTAGTAAGTAAGAAGTCAGCAGTTACTCAAGAAGAGGTCATTATGACACTTTACAGTTGCAGTGTCCTTGGGAGACATATTTTCTGTTAACTTGGCAGCTGGCTGTATCTGTGTCTGTTATCCCAGCTGACAAATGGCAGGACAGATTTTCACTTTCTCAGAGCAAGCTAATTTTTACTCTGTAGTCATATCTGACTCATGGTACCCATTCTCTGCCCCCATCTCATGCTGGCCTGCCTCTCAGAGCACCACCACCCAGACTAGAGACCCAGGGGTCTTTGTTACATGTCTCTCCTCACTGCTCATCCTCAAGCCTGCCCACCAGTAAGTCCTGTGTGTTTTACCTCATTGATGCCTTCTGAATCATCAGGTTGCTTCTGCCTCCACTGCTGTGTCCCGCCTTGTCTTGGCAGGGTCCACTCACTGCCACTCTCTAGTCCCTTTGATGCGCGGTAGCCTGAATTATTTGTAACAGTTCAGTCCAATCATGCTAGTCCCCTGGTTAACTTCAACAGCTTCTTGCTTTTAGGATAAAGACCAAAAACAATATCACCCAAACCTACAACCACCCAAAAATGAAAACAAAACCATATCATAGCTTAAAAGGCTTTATACTGGACACATGGTTGGCCCAGAGTTGCTGTCTAATCTGTCTGGTTACCATCTATCTTCCTACTAGATGTTGTCCCAGCACCCTGTGCTGCTTCAGACAACATAGTTTTATTCCTGTTTTACTTTATAAGTTGGCGGGAGTGCAGGGCCCCTGACTCTGCCTACCATTATTTCTCTGCCTGCCTTAATATTTGGTCCTTAAGGTACACCCTACTGTCTCTACATGCTCTTCTTTCTGAATTGTGCCATCATGAGACTAACATGTGCTACAGGAAACTTGGTGTTTAGAGAAAGAGAGGATCACAGTGGGTGGGGGTGGCTGTAGGGGAGGGTTCCTGTGAACTTTGAATGTGAGGTGGCCCAAGGCTTGGCCTGAAAGATGGCCTCCTAAGGCACTTGTCATCTAATTTTGACTCTGGAGTTCTTACCATTTGGGTACTGTGAAGGAAAACACAAATTCTCCCTCTTTTCTTTTTATAAGACTTAGACCCGATGGCCCTCCCAGGGCCTTCCAAGGGGCCTGTCTTCACATGTGAAATCATGTGGGCCATGGCTCTAAGAATGGAGCCCCACAGAGGAAGTCTGAGGGTTACATTGTGGCAGCAAGAGCTGTTTGACATAGCTGATTTCTCCACCCTCCCACCAGCCCTGCGGTCTAACAGAGTTCTTGGCTTTGACCGGTGTGTGCTCCTTTTCCTTCTAGATGTTGGTGTGTGCCTCCCATCTTAAGCATTGATAAGGGACAACCTGAAGGTAGGCATGAATGCCGGCAGGGAAGGAGTAGAGGGGAGCTGTATGCCTGATTTGAGAGGCCGCTGCTGCTGCTCTTTTATTTTAGAGACAGGGTCTTGTTTTGTTGCCCAGGTTGGAGTTGCCCTGGATAATTTTTAAAAATTTTGTAGGCTGGGCATGGTGGCTCACACCTGTAATCCTAGCACTCTGGGAGGCTGAGGCAGGAGGATTGCTTGAGTTTGGGAGTTCGAGACCAGCCTGAGCAAGAGCAAGAGCCAGTCTGTACTAAAAATAGAAAAATTAGGTAGCATGTGCCTGTAGTCCAGGTGTCCTCAAACTACAGCCTGTGGGCCACATGCGGGTGTTTTTGCCTGTTTGTTAAAATAAGATGTGCAGTGTGCATAGGAATTTGTTTGTAGGTTTTTTAAAACTATAGTCTGGCCCTCCAATGGTCTGAGGGACAGTGAACTTGGCCCCCTGTTTAAAAAGTTTGAGGACCCCTTCTGTAATCCCAGCTACTCAGGAGGCTCAGGCAGGAGGATCACTTGAGCCCAGAGTTGGTGTTTGCAGTGAGCTACAGTGATGCTACTGCACTCTACCCTGGGTGACAGAGCGAGACTCTGTCTTAAAAACAAAAACAAAAAACAAACAACCCAAAAAAACCCACAAAACAATTTTTTGTTTTGTAGAGAGAGGGTCTTTCTATGTTTGTCTAGGTTGGTCTCAAACTCCTGGCCTGAAGCAGTCCTCCTGCCTTATTCTCCCAAAGTAATAGGATTATAGGCGTGAGCCACTGCACCTAGCAGAGATTTCTTTTAGAGTATAGGGGTGATTCTGATTGGTTGGGCTTAGGCTTTAAAGTAACTTGTGAGCCAGCTGGAGTAACTGGAGGACACAAATTGGATGAGGGATGTCAAGTGTTGAGTGAGGCGTGATTCCGACTGTGGCACAGCATCTGCTTTTGGGAGACTGGCAAGGTGAGTAGTGGTTTGGAATAATGCTGAGGAAGGTGTTGCCTGAAACTTTGGGGAGTCAATGAGCATTTGAGAGAGGCATGATTTATTGAAGA